AGACACTAAAGAGAATTCTAAGCACTACTACAAAATATACTTTCTACATCGTCATTTAACGTCGGTTATTGTTGAGACGACGTTGAATGTTGAATATTAAACACATTCTACGTCGATTTTTAGTCAACCAACGTAGAAAGTACTTTCCACGTCGGTTCCCAAAAATTCACTTAAATTTGAAAATTGTCACTGACAAGATTCAAACTCAGGATTTTAGAATTGAAAACTTTTACTCTAACCACTAAACTATTATAATTTTCTGATAATAACTTTCAAATAAATTATATTTATATACAAATAAATATATATCTATGTAAATATATATTTATTTGTATATATTTTCTGGAAAGTATTTTTATTTTTTTTCAGCCAAAAATTCACTTAAGTTAATGAATTATCACTGACAGCATTTGAACCCAGTATTTTAGAATTGAAAGTTAATATCTCAACCACTAAACTACTACAAATTTTTGATAATAACTTACAAATAAATTATATTGGTATTTTTCGATCGAGGGTGAAAGTGAGATTGACTCTTGCTTGAGTGAAAATATGTTAAAGCTCACAGAAATTCACTCACTCAAGCCTCGTTTGAGCGAAAATTGGTATTTTTCGCTTGAGACCGAATGATGCGTTTCCCAAATTTATTTTATATCATTATATAAATAAAATTATAAAGATTATATTTTGTCATTAAATTACAAACTCATATAAAGATACCTGCTCACAAATTTAGCATCAAATTTTGAAAACCCACTCGACACACACTTTCACTTTCGAGTGTGCCCTCACATCCAACATATAAATATATAACTATATAAATATATTTGTATTTATATATTTATATATTTACACGAATATATATTTATTTGTATATAAATATAATTTATTTGTAAGTTATTATCGGAAAATTCTAGTAGTTTAGTGGTTGGAGTATCGACCTCCAACTCTAAGGTACTGAGTTCGAATCCTGCCAATGACAATTCTTTTAAAAAATTAATAAACTTCTAAAAAATATAATATAAAGAGATGGATGACCTAATAAAAATATAATATAAAGAGAGGGAGACTTCTAGATAAATAAAAGGGATAAAGGGGCTGTAAATAAATAAAAATTTATTAATTTAAAAAATCATACTTTCAACGTCGATCTATTAGAACCGACCGACGTTGAAAGCCTCCTTCCAGAACCGACGTTGAAAGCTTTATTTGTAGTAGTGAAGGCTGACTTCCAAAAAAGCAGCCCACAGTGTCACTTGGCCTAATGTATAATAGGACGAATGATTATCTACTAGTAGGCTACTCGGATAGTGACTGGTGTGGAAATGTTGATGACCGGAAAAACACGTCTGGATATGTATTCTTCATGAGAAACACATCATTCACTACTAGTAGGCTACTCGGATAGTGACTGGTGTGGAGATGTTGATGACCGGAAAAACACGTCTGGATATGTATTCTTCATGAGAAACACATCATTCACCTGACTTCCAAAAAAGCAGCATCCTGGAGTGTCTGTCATGCAGTTTGGCTTAGAAATCGGCAATTGAATTGGCAAAGAACCCGGTCAATCATGAGAGAAGCAAGCATATTGATGTTCGGTTTCACTTCATTCGAGAACAAGTGAAAGAAGGAAATGTGGAGTTAGAGTACGTCGGAACCCGAGCACAAGCTGCAGATATGTTCACGAAGTCACTGTCAACCACTCTGTTCGAGAACAGTAAGAAGATGCTTGGAATGAAGGACAATAAAAATATTTAAGTTTATGGGGGAATTTTGTTAGGTAAACATTAAATGCATGTAGTTAAGAGGTAGTGGTTATAGAGGTAGTAGTTAAGTGAAAGAAGGAAATGTGGAGTTAGAGTACGTCGGAACCCGAGCACAAGCTGCAGATATGTTCACGAAGTCACTGTCAACCACTCTGTTCGAGAACGGTAAGAAGATGTTTGGAATGAAGGACAAGAAAAACATTTAAGTTTATGGAGGAATTTTGTTAGGTAAACATTAAATGCATGTAGTTAAGAGGTAGTAGTTGAGAGGTAGTAGTTATATTGAATGTATGTAGTTGAGAGATAGTTGTTATATGGAATATATGTAGTTAAAAGGTAGTAGTGGTTATAGAGATAGTAGTTAAGTGAAAGAAGGAAATGTGGAGTTAGAGTACGTCGGAACCCGAGCACAAGCTGCAGATATGTTCACGAAGTCACTGTCAACCACTCTGTTCGAGAACAATAAGAAGATGCTTGGAATGAAGGACAAGAAAAACATTTAAGTTTATGGGGGAATTTTGTTAGGTAAAACATTAAATGCATGTAGTTAAGAGGTAGTGGTTATAGAGGTAGTAGTTGAGAGGTAGTAGTTATATTGAATGTATGTAGTTGAGAGATAGTGGTTATATGAAATATATGTAGTTAAAAGGTAGTAGTTGTATTAAATGCATGTAGTTGAGAGGCCATATCCAAAGACCTATAAATTGAACATGTATCACTCATTGCAAACACATCAAGTGATAACATATACAGAGTGTTTTATTTAGATACTTGTTTGTCAACAAAGTGTACAAGTTACTAGAAGCCAGATTTATCTACGAGGCTCAATACACCACATGGTTGTCCAATGCAGTGCTGGTAAAAAAAGGTGAACAGTAGGTGGTGCACGTGCACCGACTACATAAACCTCAATAGAGCAACTGGACACTAGATACTCAATTTTTTAGATGTTTACTTGGGATACAATCAAATACAATGTGCCACTGGGACAAGTTAAAAACGACCTTTATGACCGAATCGGTAAATTTCTACCACGAAGTAATGTCATTCGACGTAAAAAATGTCGGTGCCACATACTAGCGCCTAATGAATAAAATGTTTCGAGAACAAATCGATTGAAACATGGAAGTCTATGTGAACTACATGGTGATAAAGTCTGCCAACGACAGAAGGCATGCCCCATATTTGAGAGAGGTATTTCAGGTGCTAAGAAAATTCATCATGCATTTGAATTCAGAAAAGTGTGTGTTCAAAGTGTTAAAAATTTCTAGGATTTATGTTCACTCATATAATATTAGAAGCAAACCTCGACAAATGTCAAACCATTATATATATGAGAAGCCTTGAGACATAAAAGAGATTCAAAGACTAGTTGGGCGAACAACGACTTTGACACGTTTCCTCCTGAGATTGGCCGAAAAGGTGCAACCCATACTAAAAGGGGTGAAGAAAGCTATAAAGTTCTCATGGGATAGCATAGCTGAAGAAACCTTTAAAAAACTGAAAAAGTACCTCGCATCCCTACAAATTTTGCAAAAGTCAAGACTAGAAGGACCATTACTATTGTACCTATCCGTATTCGGGAATACCATAAGGCCAAGCTCAAGAGGTTGGAGAACTTACTAACTTGTAAGGCCGGCCTCATGGTAAAGAGACTTCCCCAAACGTGGGACTTATTACATACTCATGCAAGAGAACAAAAAAGAACAAAATCTCATATAGTTCATTAGTTGGGTGCTTCAAGAGGCATAAACAAATACCAACAAATTGAAAATGTTGTCCTAGCCTTGGTAACCGAGACTTGACGCTTAAGACCATACTTCTAAAGTGACCCTATAGTTTGTCAGAAGCGATTACCCCATAGCAAAGCTGTTACGGAAACCAGAATTTATTAGACAAATGATTAACAGACTTTGTAAACGAGATGATCCCAACAGAAATAACAAATAGCACATGGTGGGCTTTGTATGTAGATGGCTCATCCAATGAAAAAAGGGGTGGCAACAACATCGTCCTCAAAGGTGTATGAGTGATTCACAATTAACAGTTGGATACAAAGCACTTGTTGCCAAATTGCGGCTAACAAAGGAGATAGGAGTTGAGAAAGTCAGGTGTATGAGTGATTCACAATTAACAGCTGGGGAGGTCTCTGAGACGAACCAAGTAAAGGACCCGCAATTGTTTAAATATTATCACTTGGTAACAGGACTCCTGACCGGATTCATGGAGGAAAAAGTTAAGCACATTCGCCAAGAAGATAATACGAAGGTCAACAGGTTGTCCAACTTAAGTCAATTATTCAGTAGATGTTAATTCAGTCCACGGTTAGTGAACCATAGTGTCATGAGGTCGACAGAAACTCCTATTGAACGATACCTTTTCGGAAATACATTGTCAATGGCATAGAGTCGACCAACCTAGGTGAAGCCAGAACCTTTCAGAGGATAGAAACCAAGTTTGTATTAATTGAGGGAGAATTATTTAAAAGAGGACTCACCACGTTGTTACTCAAATGTATCCCAACTTCACGAGTTGAGTACGTCATGGAAGGGAATTTGCAGCCTACACTGGGGGGAACAATGGCCACCAAAATCCTAAGAGTAGGATATTATTGGTCGCGCTTCACAATGACTGTCAAAGGTATGCTCAAGATGTCACAAATGTCAAATGGACCAATAATACATACACACCCCAAACAACTGTGGTCGATCATAACCCCCTTGACCATTCGCAATATGGGACATGGACATAGTAGGCCCCTTTCCCCGACTTGAGGACAGTGCAAGTTACTCCTAGTATTTTACCAAGTGGATAAAGGTCGACCCCTTAAACCAAAATAACCACCCAACAAGTCTAACATTTTATGTGGAAAAACATAGTGTGCAGATTCGAGATCCCCAACTCTATCATCACGAATAACGATAAATAATTGATAGATAAGGGACTTGCCGAGTTCTATTTATAATTACATATAACCCATAAAGTTAGTTTTGTCAAACAGCCCTACACCAACGGTCAAGTGGAGGCTACCAATAAAGTAGTCCTACATGAGTTAAAATAAAAAAGAGGCTTGGGACAGCAAAATGAAAATGGGCCAAGTAACTGGTAAAGGTTTTGTGGGCGTACCGTTGTACCCCTTAGTCAGCAATAGGTGAAACCCAATACAACCTTACATATGGTGCAGATTCCATGATCTCGGTCGAGATAAGTGAAGCATCTTTGCACTGAGAATTATTCAACCAATAAGAGAATGAACAAAGCTTGAAGGTATAATCCCTCCCATAGAACAATTTGTCCTGAAAACTAAAGGCATAGTGAAAAACTCCAAATATAACCAACGTTAATGCGACCAAGAACTTTAGTTAAAATCACAATTAACACGAAACAACAATAACTCGAAAATAATCAAGAAATTTCATTGCAAAGTCACAAAATGTACAAGCCCGGATAATACTCGGACAATTGTCATTACAAAAGTGCAGGTGCGAGCCTAACAAATGTCATCATTTCAAAACCCGGGAACAAAGGCTCTCCAAAAAAGGAAAATTAAACCAAACATACTAAGCATTGTCGGGGATATCGTTGATGTGAACGAGAGACCCGTTATGGATGTCATATTTAATATCAAACCTTGCCTCATTTAGAGGAATATCGCTCCCAATGAAATGGTGCATATGACGAATGACCTTGTTAAAGCCTCTTGTGTGCTCCTGGATAACATAGTTATTGATCTCGACCAGCTCCCTTTCGATTGCTATCTTCGCCGCTACCTCCGCCTCATGGAGAGAAGAGAGTTCGACCACCTTCGTAACTGCAACCCTGCCTTCCACCTCAGCTCGAGCAAGTTTTTCTAGCAGCACATCCCCCTTTAACTTAAGTGTAGCGACCTGCTCACCGAGCCCAATAATCTCATTGTTCAAAGAAGAGTTGGTATCCAAAACCTCATTTAAAGAACTCGAGCCCTCAGCCAACTCATTCTTCACACAAGCGAGGTCCGACCACTTATCATTCTTAATGACATAAGCTCCTAACCTCTTTGCCCAAAACAAGAGCTTGAGTCTGGAGCTCGATAAAAGCCCGGAGCATCTTCGAATGGTCAGCGTGTAAAGATCCTTCTCGACGACCAACATGTCCACAGTCACCTTTGAGTTAATATGATGATTCGCGCTTAAGGAGTGATTCGCGCCAGGTTGGAGATATGCGTGCACATCCTTTTTTGTGAAAGGTAGGGGGAGTCACCACGATGACCGCAAGATTCTTTATCCCTCTTCTTGTGCTCCTTCCGTACATTAACAAGGGATAGCAGATCAGAGGACGACAATGGAGGTGGCATGACAATGGTAACTTCTTTACCCTTTTCGAAGACACCATTGCTTCGTTGTCGGTACTTCCTAATGAAGTTCTTGTTGGCATCTCAGCGACCATGAAATACAAAAAACGCATATTCAACAAAGGGGTCAAACAAGCGAATTGTAATCATGCAAAATAGAACAACACATATCGGCAAGATTGAAAAAAATGATAGGGAGACAAATAATTGTCGAGAACCTTTCGGGTGGGCAAGCGGCATGGTAATTTACCAAAAATCCCTAGCATTTGGATATCCGACGATGACATCTTGGAACGAGACCAGTTTTTAAAACGCAACGGGTTACGGGTCTAGTACAAAGGAAACTTGGGTGAGTCACCATAAAAAAGTACTCGCGACCAAAAGGCCGAATGACTACTTTGAAGAAATTCCCCTTGAAGTTCTTGTACGAGGAAGTATAGGGCATGAATAGAGAGGAGGTCGGGTGACCGATGAGGGATAACCAACTCACCAGAGAAGCTGGTCCAGTGCTGAAGTGAGAAAGAAAACCTTGGGGTGTCATCGACCTTAAGTTGAGAGCCTCACACAGAATGTGGAAAGCCTTAGTGCAACCCAACTATTTGGATGTAATTGGGTCGGGGTGACATTTAGGACACGAAGGATGGCCATTGTAAAGTCATCAAAAGGAAGACAAACATGAACATCCGAAAAGAGACAAGAATACATGTAAAAGTAATCATTTGCACCCTCCCAACCGTGGCATACATAGCACCACAACGCCGAAGCACAACTATAGTGTCTGGCGCACCATCTGACAATAAGTCCTGATACTCCATGTCAAACCTCAACAAGCTTGGCCATTGATACTTCAATTAATAGCATCGAACATGATGATCCACCCATTCATAGCCCACTATTTTTGTCAAATCATCACCAGCCCTCTTAGCGTCAGTACCTTTGACGACATTACTAGGAGACCATCGTCATTCTACAACAACTACATCACCACTTGCAGTAGCTGAAAAATCGAAGAAGCATGCTCTAGGTTGTCCCCTTGTAAATGACCGGCTGACACTCCTTCAACCCACGCTGACGAGCTACTCGACAACTTCTCGGAACTTGAAGAAGAAGAGAGAAAAGAGTAAATCATAGTTACCTCGCTACGTAGCGACAAGTAGTATTTCACAAAGCAACAGCACTAGAGAAATGCCCCACTGTTGGCCATTATATAAGTATTCTCCCATCATCACCGTTAGATCTAATGCGATCCAACGATCTAGATTCAATGAGCACATTTTCTACATTTGCGCGGGAATCCTACAAATTTCCGACCTTTTTCAACCCATCACGTCACTAGCAACCAGATAGTTACCGGAAAAGCATATCAAACTCGCAAATTGGACATACATCGAGTAGCACATCAACGTGTAAACGCATACGACCGGATTGTTACCGGAATACATGGTAAACACGCGAGTCCGGATACCTATCAAGCGAAAAACTACATGCTTATCCAAGCGCGTCAACATGTTTTCCACGACACTCGACTCAAGCTTGGGGGCATATGTACCATAGTAACCCGCAAGAAAATCCCACCTTGGGAATCCCTGAACTATATCACCTAATCATAGTCATATAAATGTCAACAAGGCTAAAGAAAAAGCTAATGTCACTCTATTTCTATAAAACCCTGCAGAATACTAAAATCATCACTGATTTCAATGTCAAAGTATTTTTGTAAGTACCCCTCATCAGACCCCAAAACTAACCACCCTAAACATCTAAAGACCGTGAAACTATCTGAAGACTAATAGAAAGGAAGGTTTGTGTTCAACCCTAAAAAATAAAGTGTCTATCAAAAACAACAAAGTTTAAAGAACAATTAGAGCAAAATTAAACTTATAAGGTGTCTATTTTGATTAATAAGGGGAAAAACTAAAATTAACTAATGCTTAGATAAGACAAAAACAATTCATTAATCCATTTTGATTAATAAAAAAATATTTGAAAATGTGAACTAAATGTGCAGGTTTATATAGCATGCAACTCCGCATTCGAAAATCAATAAATTATACATCATGGTGTTCACAAAAAATTGGGTCTTACTTTTTATTTTTATTACTCAATCATTTTCAGAACACAGATTCCACTCTTTAGAACACAAATTCCACTTTTTTTTTTACGGGTCTAAAAATTCTTTCATCCAATTTTATAAATTTAATATTCTTATTATCGGATTGGTGGAGATGGATACGTGTGGAGTAGATTTAAAAGGAGATAGATTAAAAAAATGCGTAAATCTGATTTTGAAGTGCAATTTCAATATAGTTTGATTAGTGTGGGACTATTTTTTTTTTTCAAAGAAATTACTTTGAATCATCTTCAAATTGTAGTTGAGAATTTAATCTACCAATCACCTCAATTCAATCTCATCCTCTTTTCCTAACCTCCACCCATCCAATAAAAATAAATATAAATTCAACCAATTTAAAAACTAAATACAAATTTAAAAAATAAAAAAATACATTTAAAAACATTTTAGAAGTTAAATTGGAGGAAAAACTTATCATGCAATAATTTTGATCTATTAAGTATTGAAACAAGTCTATTGAATTTTAAAAAATAATGGATGAATACTGACCGCCTACAAATTAATTGAATGGGTTTGATCTTTTTTTTTGTTTTTATAAATGTTAGATATTGTTTAGATATTATTTAATATTATTAAGATATTGTTAGATATTAACCATAATATCAAACAATATCTTACTGTTTATTTTGTTACTTTCAGTTACTTTTTTAGTTGTATCTCTCTACTATAAATAGACTACCCTATGTGTGATTTATACACAAGGGAGATTAATCTCAAAATTTATTTCTTCTATATTCAACATGGTATCTAAAGCTTAAGGTTATTTTGAATTTATTTATTTTTCGCCTTTGACCACAATTGAAGCTGTCACCACCGCCGCTATCGCTGTCGGTTATTTGGTAGTGTGAAAGTGCATGTCTAGGAAAGTTCTGACAAGGAAAGACTTGGTATTTAAGTGTGTCCATTAGTGACCCACCTCTCTTTCCTGGGAACTTACCTGGTGTACTGGTTTACGCCGCTGTCACTATCGCCTCTGCCCTTTATGAGTTCATCCGCTCCTTTTAGTACTTCCAATTTTGTCAGTACTGTGTCTGATCCTTCCATCTACACTAACTATGTTAATGTGCACTTATCCATTGACAAATTAACTGGCCCTAATTATGTCACATGGTCATCAGACGTCAGATTATGGCTTAAGAGTCAGAAGTATCTTGATCATCTTGTCCCGAAAGCACCTACTCTCACTCCTGGTGAGGAAGACTGTTGGGACACCATTGATGCTCAATTATGCGTGGTTCTCAAGGGTACTCTTGATCCTTCGTTAAAACAAATTTTTCGTTCCTACGAAACATGTGCCAAAATCTGGGAACATGCCAAGTTATTATACACCAATGATACTCAACGTCTCTATGATGTCTGTTCTAAATTTGTAGATGTTATTGCCTCTAAACATCAAGATTCTATGACTGATTATATGGGCAAAATTCATGCTCTTTTTCATGAGTTCAATGAGTTATTGCCTCCTTCCCCCGACCCTGCCACCGAGATAGGACAACGATCAAAGTTCTTCATGCTAGGGGCATTACACGGACTTGCTAATCAATATTCACATATTCGTAATCAGATTTTGGGTTCTCTGGTTGTCCCCACCTTGACATCAGTCTGTTCCACTCTTTTGCGTATACCAGCAAAACTCAACCCTGACACACCTGCTTCTGTTAATGATTCTTCTGTATTGGTATCTCACCGTGATGATCGAACTCGCCCTTGCAAACAGGGAAAAGGGCGTCCTAAGTGTGAACATTGTGGCAAGCTAGGTCACAAGATTGATCAGTGTTATGCATTACATGAGTGTGAACATTGTGGCAAATTAGGTCACAAGATTGACAAGTGTTATGCATTACATGGTCGTCCTACTCGATCTACTGCAGTTGCTCAAACTGATTTTTTCCCACCTTTATCTGCTAAGGATCCTCCTTCTTCTATTTCATCAGACACACCTGCTATGTTCAACAAATTTCTCAAATGGTATAAGGATCAACAGTCTTCTAGTTCCACTGTGTCTGTCACACACACAGGTACATCTTTTGCTGGTCTGACCCAATCTTCTTCTGGTCCTTGGGTTTTTTATTCAGGAGCCACTGATCATATTACTGGTAACAAATCTTTGTTCTCCTCTTTATCCTCTCCTGATCCTTTACCTTTTGTTACACTAGTTGATGGCTCTAGAGTATCATCTCATGGTGTTGGAACTGTTAAACTTTTCCCTTCTTTAACCATTGATAATGTTCTTTATGTCCCTGGGTCTCCTTTTAACCTGTTATCCATCAGTCGTCTAACTCGTTCTCTTGATTGTATTGTTTCTTTTACCAATAATTCTGTGTGTTTACAGGACCGGAGTTCGAAACAGGTGATTGGCACAGGATGTGAGTCTCATGGTCTTTATCATCTTCGTCCCTTTACACATGTTGGTGCAGTTATAGAGTCTCCCTCTCTTCTCCATACTCAGTTAGGTCATCCAAGTCTTGCCAAGTTACAACAACTTGTCCCTGCCTTATCTAAATTGTCTAGTTTGGCATGTGAGTTGTGTCAATTAGGCAAACATAGTCGTACTTCCTTTCCTCGTAGTGTCACACGTGGTGCTTCGTCCCCTTTTGTCGTGGTTCACTCTGACATTTAGGGACCTAGCCGCGTTAAGTCTACTTTAGGTTTTCAATACTTTGTTACTTTCATTGATGATTATTCCATATGCACTTGGTTATTTTTGATGAAAAATCGTTCTGAATTATTTCATATCTTTCAAACTTTTTGCAATGAAATTCAAACTCAGTTCGGTGTTTCTATCAGAGTTTTGCGCAGTGATAATGGTCATGAATATCTTTCTCATTTTTTTAAACAATTCATGGCTTCTCATGGTATTTTGCATCAAACTTCTTGTGCTTATACACCTCAACAAAATGGTGTAGCTAAACATAAAAATAGACATCTTATTGAAACAACTCGCACTCTTTTAATTCATGGAGAGGTTCCTCAGCATTTTTTGGGTGATGCTCTTCTTACTGTGTGTTATCTTGTTAATCGCATGCCATCTTCGGTTCTAGATAATAAAATACCTCATTCCATTTTATTCCTTCATGAACCACTTCATCCCTTACCTCTAAAAGTTTTCGGGTCTACATGTTTTGTTCATAATTTTAGTTCTAGTCTTGACAAGCTTTCTCCTAGATCACATAAATGTGTTTTCTTAGGGTTTACAAGATCACAAAAAGGATACAAATGTTTTTCTCCTTCTCTTAACCGTTATTTTGTGTCTGCAGATGTCACATTTGATGAGTTCTCTTTTTATTTTAAAAGTCAATCTTCACCTCTGTCTCCATCCAATCTTGTCAACACTCCTAGTACATTTAATGTTCCTGTTGTTTGTGACCCTATAACTGTGTCTTCTTCACCATTAGATTCTACTCCGCAGTCAGCTTCTTCTTCACTGCCTCTTCAGGTTTATAGTTGCCGAAACCAATCACAACCACCACCATGTGACTCTACTCAAGTGCCAACTACTCTGTCTCCTCCAGATGTGACACCTGAGTCTGACCTTCCCATTTCCCTCCGAAAAGGTATCCGTTCTACACGCAATCCCTCTCCTCATTATATTGGTTTGAGTTATCATCGATTGTCATTACCTTTTTATACATGTCTTTCCTCTCTTTCTTCTGTGACCATTCCAAAAACTGTTCGTGAAGCTTTAGCTCATCCTGGTTGGCGTCAGGCCATGTTAGATGAACTAAGTGCTCTTCATAATAGTGGAACTTGGGAATTGGTCTCGTTACCGTCTGGGAAATCTGTTGTTGGTTGCAGGTGGGTGTTTGCTATCAAAGTTGGACCTGATGGTACTATTGATCGCCTCAAAGCTCGTCTTGTGGCCAAAGGTTATACTCAAATTTTTGGGTTAGACTATGGAGATACCTTTTCCCCTGTGGCAAAGATGACTTATGTTCGTTTATTTATCGCCATGGCTGCTCTTCAACAATGGCCTCTTTATCAACTAGATGTTAAAAATGCTTTCCTCAATGGTGATTTGCAAGAAGAAATCTATATGAAGCAACCTCCTGGGTTTGTTGCTCAGGGGGAGTCTTCTGGGATGGTATGTTGTCTTCGCAAATCCCTATATGGCCTAAAACAGTCTCCTAGGGCCTGGTTTGGAAAATTTAGCAAGGTTGTTCAACAATTTGGTATGACTCGGTGTGAAGCAGATCACTCTGTCTTTTATCGACACTCAAGTGCTGGATGTGTTTACTTGATAATATATGTTGATGACATCGTTATTACAGGTAGTGATAACCATGACATCTCTCAGTTGAAACAACATCTCTGTCACCATTTTCAGACCAAAGATCTTGACAAACTTAGACATTTCTTGGGTATTGAGGTGGCACAGTCCAATGATGGTATTATTATATCTCAGAGGAAGTATGCCATGGATATTTTAGAGGAAACTGAGTTGATGAATTCAAAGTCTGTTGATACGCTCATGGATCCCAATACTAAACTTTTACCAAATCAGGGGGAGCTTATACCTGATCCTGAGCAGTATAGAAGATTGGTTGGAAAATTGAATTATCTTACAGTTACTCGTCCTGACATTTCCTTTGTAGTCAGTGTGGTAAGCCAATTTCTTAATTCCCTATGTGAAGATCATTGGAATGCAGTCATTCGTATCTTAAAGTATATTAAAGGATCTCCTGGAAAAGGATTGTTATATGATTCTAATAACCATACAAGAGTTGTTTGTTACTCAGATGTTGATTGGGCAGGATCTCCTTCGGATAGAAGATCTACATCTGGATATTGTGTCTCCATTGGTGGTAACTTGGTCTCATGGAAAAGTAAGAAACAAAGTGTTGTGGCAAGATCTAGTGCAGAAGTAGAATATAGAGCTATGGCCTCAGCTGCTTGTGAACTTGTTTGGCTCAAGCAATTGCTTAGAGAGTTACAATTTGGAGATGTCACTCAAATGTCACTTGTGTGTGACAATCAGGCTGCTCTTCATATTAGTTCTAATCCTGTCTTTCATGAAAGGACCAAACACATTGAGATTGACTGTCATTTCATTCGAGAAAAGATTATGTCTGGAGACATCAAAACTGAGTTTGTTAACTCAAGTGATCAGTTAGCAGATATTTTTACTAAATCTTTACGGGGTCCTAGAATTGATTATATTTGTAACAAGTTTGGCACATACGATTTGTATGCTCCAGCTTGAGGGGGAGTGTTAGATATTGTTTAGATATTATTTAATATTGTTAAGATATTGTTAGATATTAACCATAATATCAAACAATATCTTCTCGTTTATTCTGTTACTTTCAGTTACTTTTTTAGTTGTATCTCTCTACTATAAATAGACTACCCTATGTGTGATTTATACACAAGGGAGATTAATCACAAACTCTATTTCTTCTATATTCAACAATAACTTTAAGATAGATGAATTAGATAAATTTATTTACAAATAAAAAATATAATGATGAATAGATGAATTATTTTCTCATGCTTTAAAAAAATTATAGAATGAAAGCAGAAGAAAAATATTATATAATAATTTATATTCACTACTACAAATATCACATTTCGATTCTGGAAGGTTTTCCACGTCGGTTTCAGAACCGATGTAGAAAGTTTGATTTTTTTATTTATTTATAATATCCTCTAACCTCCTCTATTTATCTAGAAGTCCCCCTCCCTTTATATTATAAGAGAATTATCACTAGCAGGATTTGAACCCAATATTTTAGAGTTGGAGGTTGATACTCCAACCACTAAACTACTAGGATTTTTTGATAATAACTTAGAAATAAATTATATTTATATACGAGATAAATGTATATACGTGTAAATATATAAATATAAAATATATAAATACAAATATATTTATATATTTTGATATATTTATATAGTTATATATTTATATGTTGGATGTGAGAGCGCGCTCGAAGGTGAAAGCTGTGTGTCGAGTGGATCTTCAAAATTTGATACCAAATTTAATTTAATTAATAGAACAATTTTTTCCTTACATAGATTATTATAAATTAATCAAAATCATCTTTTAATAATTTTTTTCAGACATAGATTAATTTATAATAATTTATTAAATAAAATAATTTTAAAAATAAATATTTATTTATTTTTAATATTTGAAAAAATTATTTTAATATAAGAATTTTAATTAAATAATTGAAGAAAAAAAGATAAAAAGAATAAAATAAAATAAAAATAAATAAAGAAAAAATTATTTTATATCATTATATAAATAAATTATAAATATTATATTCTATCATTAAATTACAAACTCATAGAGACTCGTTCACAAATTTGATATCAAATTTTGAAAACCCACTCAACATACACTTTCACCTTCGAACGCATTCTCACCTCCAATATATAAATATGTAAATATATAACTATATATCAAAATATATAAATATATTTTATTTATATATTTTATATTTATATATTTACATGGATATATATTTATTTATATATAAATATAATTTATTTATAAATTATTATGAGAAAATGGTAGTAAATGATTGGTTGGAGTCCTTAATTCACTCGGCATTTTTTTGTTATTATATATGTCACACGATGCGGAACCGTTTGTCTAGAGTTTCAAAATATAAGACAGGATCGGCTGCCCAGCACAAAGCATCCACGTAGTAATTAAAAAATAAACAAAATATTTGGCTTAGACATAACAATGCATACATTATTTATTCTTTTGTTCATAAAAATTAAAATAAAATATAAAAATAATTTTAAAAAATAATTATTATAAATTTTAGTTGTATATCTTATTTTTTTAATAAATTTAATTTTTAATTTCATAATTTATCATTTTTTTTATGTATGCTTCGAAATAACTAAATAGAAAATTTATGTGACCATGTTATAATACCATCCTCACTAATAATCTGATTTTAAATTAAATTAAAACAATAATTAAAGTAAAATTTTATTTTATCAATAATAATAATATAAATTTAATAAATAATTGTATATTATATAAACTTTAACAATAAAAATAATAAAAAGTAAAAGAAATTAATAATAAATTGAAATTAATAATATAAAAATTTATAGTTAACTTACTAAATTAAATATTAAAAAAAAATCATGCGACCAAATCTATCTTCAGTTTATTGGTCTAGTTCAGACAAACTAAAGTTAAAATTTCATGATAAACTTATAGGCTAACTTATGCAACCTAGCCCACATTCTCACGTAATTCACTACTGATTTTATGTTGACAACCGGTTTAAAAAAATCAATAACACCCCGTTCTCATAATATAATAATAGAATCTATTATTATATTATTATAATGAGTTATCTATTAGTTTTTTTATTTAAAAATATTAAATATATATATATAATATATATATATATATATATATAATGATAGAATTTTGAAAAAACAAATCTTTTGATGTGATAAATATATGATAAAAAAAACAACATCCAAAAATTGTTGAATTTTTTGATAAGTGTAATTATAAAAATTATTAATTTTTCAAATATAAAAAAATACTAAAAAAGAAATAAAAAATCTAATATAAAATGGTGGAATTTAAAAAAAATATCAAATTATCATTAATATAAATAACTCTAAGTTAAGGTATACTATATATATATATATATATATATATATATATATATATATATATATAAATTATATGTTAATATTTAAAATTTTGTGGAGAGTACCCTATAAAATTCCCGTAGGCTCCGCTGCTATGTATACTGATGCATATTTTGCTCTTTTATCGATTGGTGTACGGCACAACTAAACCATGCTTTATATCCCATCATATTAAAAAAAAGAAAAAAGAAAAAAATAAATAAATATATATATATATATATATATATATATATATATATATATATCGTGACAGCTGTTGATTAGAAAAACAATTATCACATAACCGTTTTATTAATATAATAATAATAAGAATACAAATTATTATTATTATAATATTAGAATGGAGTTGTAACGTACGAGAAGTATGAAATGTTAATATATCACTGTTCTAAAAGAAATGACTTTCTTAATATTTTAATAGCCCTTAAATATTTCTTTTTCTGTTGTTTCTATTTCAAAGGAAAAAGGATATTATTTCTGTGGATGTATTGTTTTTTACAATTGAAGTTACATTGGTAGTTCCCTGCATTTTGTACAATACCCTAATATAATACGCCATTCAGAACTACCTTTTTTATAAATAAAAAAATAAAAAAATTGAGTGTTAAAAATTATAATAACCGTGTATGTTTTGCATCTAATTAATATCAATATATCTTTGCACCACAACCAATATCATTATAGAAATGATGAAATCAATATTTTATAATTTTATCTTCAATTCAGGTTTCATTTAGTGTTCTATTCAATTTTATTTTCTAATATATTATATTTCTTTGTTCAAACGCTCTTTCAACAAGTGGGAGGATCATGATTGTTTTCTGTATCGCACTTGCTTACTGTACATTAATCATGGATACTAATTAAGGAGCAAGGATTACTAGGTTTAATTGAGAGTTATATATAAAGGAACGATGAAAGAAATTTGATAACTTAATATTAATGTCAAGGGTTAAATTAGCAATTATATGAGAGGTTTAATTACTTTGGTATTTCTGAATTATGTAAGAATTTCTAAATAAGTATTTCAACTATATATTTTTTTAATTAGCAAATCCGGTATATATAAATATAAAACATGTGGGAAGAGAATTCTTAACGTGAAAGTGGTTTTATTACATGAAGATGCAATAAAACTTATTTAACCCTTATTTATATTAGGCTACATAGTGGTGTTTCATTTGAAGTTTCCAAGCGTGAAGGCACCATTACCATCACCCTTCACTTTTACGTTGGTGTTGTTGGTAATCCCGAACAGCTTTTGATTCTCGCCATTGAGAAGGCCACCTGCAGGAGGTTGAAGAGGAGGAAATGGAGCGCTGTTAATGTCGGGATTCCATTGAGGATAAGACCCCACACCTCTGCAGATATTACCTCCATCCATCATGTCTGCAAACCCTCTTACAAAACCTGCCATTCAGAGTTTGGTGATCAAGGAAACACAAAACTAACAAACTTTGTTTTAGGTTTTCCCTAATTGCTTGTCATGTTTGGTGTTGAAGGGAAAGTGCTATTTTATAGATGCAAGAAGAGTACATGCTCATTGGTCTCCAACATACAATCATAGTCAATGTAAGATATTTATGAATGACATAAGAATCAATCACACACACACACACACACACATATATATATATATATATATATATATATATATATATATATATATATATATATATATATATATATATATAAAGTTTTTAGAGGTATGAAAAAGATTATAACTCTTTAACTTTTTGTAATTTATGATTTTCACCTTCTAAATTTAATAATTATTAAATATATCTATTATATTTATATTTTATTTATTTTAAAAATATATTTAAATAAATTATGAAATATATTAAATTTATTTTTATATTTATATTTTTATTATTTATTAATAACATATTCTTAATCTAAAAATTATTGATTTAACATCCTTCAACGATGATAATATGATATTATCTTTTGGTTTTTGAATTTCTTTATTCAACTTTTTTTATTTTTATTCGTGGGGTTAAAGTTCCATGAAACTTCAATGCAAAGCTACTATTGTTGGGGATCCAATTAATATTCTCACATATCTTAAAATGTGATCACAACCAGAATGGTATACGCTGTGAAGAGGCAAACTTATCCAACACTCAAAAACTTAGCCTTTGTTGATATATATAATTGATATTCTATTTATTTTAATTAATCAAAGTAAAGATTTTTTTTTCTTTCTATTCTTCTCAACTCTAATATATAGCTTTAATTGTTAAAATCTGTGACTTCTGAGGACAAATGCTTGAGCCTCTCACATGTAGATGACGTATGTATTAATGACTAATCAGGAGGACCTAATTCAAAGATTAAAGGAATATTATGTCAAAAATTAGTCTCTGTATATTATTCTCTTAAAAAATTATGCATGATAGGATTTGATATTTAAAGATAAAAAATGGAAGCGAGAAGTAGAGATATAATATTATGGATATAATAAGTAATATAAATAAAAACATTAAATAAAATTTTGAAATATATGAATCCGTGAGAACCTTTGTACTAATATTAATATGGGTTTTGATATTTAGAGACTCATTTTCCAACAACTGTTAATAAATTTTTATAATTAATGTTATTTATTTATATTATTTTATTCTTTATTTATGAATAAAAAATTATTATTTTAAGATTGTCATTCATATATATATATATATATATATATATATATATATATATATATATATACATGATACTTAAAATATTAATAGGAAAAAATATGTGTTGACATATTTTTCAAAACATATGAATGACAATCTTAAAATAATAATTTTCAGTTTCATGAATACCAGTTGCTGTTTCGGTAGGTTTGTAATAGTTAATTTTCTGTAGTGACTTCTGTTTTGGTTTCCTTGGAACATGCTCTAAATACAACCAGGTTCGCTTTTTAACTCTAAATAGAGGAAAGTGATTATAAGGATTTAGTTGATTATGTTTGGATAAATTTCTTTATAATAAGAAAAAAAGATCAAAATTTGTTAAAATTATATATCGATATAGATATATTAAAATTTTGAAAAGAATTAAAATTTAAAAATTAAATAAATTAACTTGTGTACAATAATTATCAAATAAAAATAAAAAAAAATTGTGCTTTTAAGTATTTATGAATATAAAAAGTTAAGATAAGATGCTTGATGATAATTTACAAGGCTATTCCCAAACAGAATCTCGCATAACTCATCGGTGATAACGATATTTTGAACCACGCACAATTTGTCTGCGCTTATCTATCCATGAAGAAGAGGATCTCTCAGGTTAATTAGATTTTGTGTGCGTTTAGAAGTAGAAAAACCATTTTTAAAGTTTAAATAATACATGACCTTAAACTTCACATGCTTAATATCCATCATGAATATTGCTCTTGATTTTAAAATACTTTTTATCAGCAAATCCCGTATAAATATAGAGAGAGAATAAAACATGTGCCAAAGGAATTCTTACGTGATAGTCCAAGGTTAAGTTGTTATAAGCGGTTGATAATATTATTACATAATGATTTTATTATTACATGCCCTTTTGAAGTTTAGGGTTTATTTATACATAGGAAGGCTATTTTGACGGCTATGTAGTGGTGATTTATTTGAATTTTCCAAGGGTGAGTGCTCCATTGCCATCACCATCGACTTTAATGTCGGTGTTGTTGGTAATCCCGAACAGCTGTTGATTGTTTCCATTGAGAAGACCACCTGCAGGAGGTTGAAGAGGAGGAAATGGAGCACTGTTCATGTTGGGATTCCATGGAGGACGACTTCTCATGCCTCTGCTGCTGTCACCTCCATCCATCATGTCTGCAAACCCTCGCACGAACCCTGCCATTCACAGTTATTTCACCAACTACACAAACTTTCTTTCGTGTTTTCCTTAATTGCTATGCATAGTGTTGAAGACATATTAGCATTTTATAGATGCAGAGGCACCATAATCTTACCATGCTTGTACCCTCGTGGGGTTCCAATATTCTACTTATCTTAAAATATGACCTTATTCACCACCCAAGTGCTTAAAAGCCTGTGTTGATAGATTCGGATCACGTGCTTCATCATTGAGTTTGAGCTTTCTTTTAGGGTTATATTTCATTTAGAAAATTTAATGGAAACAAAATGAATGAAATATATTTATTAGACCACTTTACAGAATCTTTATTAAAATCAATATATTCATAATATCTATCATATCTTGAATCAATATATAAGTTGTTAAATACGACCAATTATTGATATATACTCTCTTATATTATTGATATATACGACCAATATATAATTTTGTTTATTTTCTTTTAAAATATGTGACAGCTGAGAATAGCTGCTTGAGTCTCAAGCTGTTCTTTCTATACGTAGACAAAGACGAGGTTCAACATTTCACCGGATGACGCATCTATCAATGACAGGAGGACCTAATTCAAAGATAAAAGGATTATTATGTGGAAAAGTTTCACTATTTTATTCTCTTCTTTGATGCGTCGTCATAATCCATTTTAGATATTTTTAAGCGAAACAAATTGAAGTGATGAGAATAGGCTATAATAAGTGGCCATAAATAAGAAATATTAAATTAATATTTGTATATGTATATAGACAGAGAAAACATACTTATAAGTGAAAATTTTATCTCACCTTTAACATCATTAAATTACAAATAAATTAAACAGTGATATATATATATATATATATATATAATTGTTTTATATTTTAACATTAATGATCACTAGTTTTGAGATGTAAAAATTATTTGATTACTAATGAAAAGATATTGGAGTAATTTATATGAGTTATTTTTTATTTTTAAAAATGTGAAATATAGATTTATTATATTATGTCATTTTTAATTAATTTATTTTTTATTTTATTTTAATAATTTTTTTAATAAATTTTAAAGAATTTTTTTCTTATTTTCTTTTTTATTTATTTATGAATTTACTTAATAAAATAATTATAAAAAAATTTTAAAATATAATACCATGTTATATAATCTTTTTCTAATAAAAAATTATTTAAAACAATTAATACTTTATTTAAGCATAACTCTCTTTAGAGATAAAAAAAATTACTATTTAAGATTATGATAATATATATATATATATATATATATATATATATATATATTTGTATTTTTGGAGATGGTTTAAGACAAAATTGTGATAACTTAATATTTCAAATGGTAATTAGTCTTAATAATGCATTAATGTGATTGGATTAAAGTTCATTTTTTTTATATATAAAATCAGTTGGAGAAACTAAAACTAAATACAAAAACAAATTTTAAATATGAAATTATTTCTTTTATATTTTATATAAAGAAAATTATGAGAACCATAAAGCACAAGAAGCTATAGATCACAACTTCGTGGATGCTTAATTTGGATAAATTATCTGGTAATGATATTTTCCACATGACACATAAATGTCTGCGCTTATCGATCTATATATTGAGAGGAGGATCTCTCAGGTTAGGTAGAGTGTGTGTATAGAAGTAGGGAACCATTTTTAAGGTTTAAATAATCAACACATGTCCATCATGAATATTGTTCTTAATTTTAAAACATTGGATTTTGATACCGATTTCAAAGTTCATGATCACCACTCTTGATTACTGCAAGCAGGCAGAAAATCAAGATAGGAAATAGCAGGAGATATAATCGACACTGAAAAAGAAATAGACATGTGTATAATTATAAAGAGGAGGTATAAAAACCTCGTTATTTTATTGGAAATAGTAGAGGTAGCAGTTTAGGTGATGGTGGATGATAATACATATTAGAGAAGTTTGAAAGCTTAGTATGAGTTTGTGGATGAGTTAAAGCCACCAAAGACGATGGAGCCATTGCCATTACCCTTGGTATAACCAGTGTTGTTTATAAGACCACTCATGTTTTGTGTGCCTGTGTTGTTGAACGAGGCTCTTGGCTCCTCCTCATAGTGACGAGGATGAGCAACAGCACCAGGATTCGGAGACCGTCGTCGTGGCTGTGCTGTCTGCATAGGTTCTGCGACATCATTAAGGAGCCCAAACAATTGTCCAACAAAACCTGCCATTTTCAACTGAATGCTACTTAATTACTTTCTGTGGTTTAGCTACGTTTTGTTTAGGATGCTTTTATAAGCACGGTGAGGAATATTAGGGTTGTAGCTTCCACAGGAAGCAACTATTAATTTATCTTTCATATTTGATGACTTCTGTGTTCCTTTCCTTGTTTTTATTGGTTGGTACGTATGTGATTCTACCACTGAAATTCTTTAAAAGATTATTTCTTTTCATGCATGAAGGGACTTGCAAATGAATAGAAAAATTCACAATTTAAATTATATTAATTTGACTATTCACAATTATCACCATTAGGGTTACGTAGTTCGGGAGCGTTATCAAGTGTGAGAAAAAATTGCAAAGACACATGTCTTTCAAATTTCACACGAGGATTGGATTCCAAATTTTTGTTCCTTTGGAAAAACATGTCTTTCAAATCTGCATGATCAACTAGTGTATACGTATTTTTCAGGGCCTAACAACCTAAAGATTTGGGATACTAATTATAAAATATGACATAGACTTCAATATCAAATTTTAAGATATTATATTTAAGAGACTTTTTATTTATAAATTATTTTATAATTAATCATATATAAAAATATGACATAAATTATAACAAATATATAAATTATTTTATTTTTTTCATTTCTATTCGAGTACATGACTTTATTAGCACATTTTCCAATGCCTCACTAAACAAATATTCCCCGGATAAGAGGATAATATATATTTAGATTAAAGCATTCATAACAAGAATGATTCATGGCTATAAAACTGGTTGGATGAAAATATTCTGGGTAGGCCGTGACATGATATGTGTGGCCAAAAATAATGATATATATAAAAATTCCATTACGTTATTCAACTCTCGATGGAGACCCTTGCATTACATATATATATATATATATATATATATATATATATATATATATATATATATATATATATATATATATATATATATATATAACTGAGGAAAGCTAAAAAAATTAATTTTATTTTACATAATTTTAATGGTTTAATTTATAATATTGTACCGAGAAACCAAGAACTCTTTAAGAAATTCTTCTGAAAATAATCCCACAACCTCGTGTGTTCTAGGGTCTGTGTTATTTGTTAAAATAAAATATATGACGGCTATAAATCTTTTATTTAATGCTTGATTTAAAAATTATAATTAAGGATCACAATACAAGAAACGGTAAAACACAAAATAAAAGAATAATTTTTTATTCGAGAAATTCTCGCTCCTGTTGCGGTTCTTAATTATTGGGCACTCCTAGTCAATAAGAAAAATCTCACTCAATAATGGATTCCACTATATCCATTAGAAAAAGAAAAGGAAAGCATCTTTCTAAAAATATCTATGACGACTTATTTGCAATTTTCAAATGCACAATTGTTCATCAAATTATAATACTCTGACCTCTTCCACCATTAAATTAATTTTGCTGCTTAGTTTTCACGAACTAGTATGTTTTTGATGAGTTGCGAGAGGTTAACTTAATATTAAGGGATATTCTGATAAAAATTTTGTGTAACTTTATTTGTATCCTCTGTTGCTTATCAAACAATAAATGAAAAAAAAAAAAAAACATTGTCATGCAACTTAAAAAAAAAATGTTCTATGTGATATATTTTAGTGTATCATACACAACTTAAAACTTTGTCATTAATTAGACGAAGATCCTAATTCATTATCGATTTGATTTAATCGTATCTTGGTGTTAGTGGCAAATCGAAAAAAGCGATCGAAATCGAAGGAAAGAAAAGCGAGAAAATATGTGACTGATTGATAAATCGATAAGATAGACAAAAAACCATTTGATGTCTAATTAGAAGTACGTAACACATAACATCGAGAAGCACAATCGAGAATTGAGTGAATGATAGCCAAATGCCTATTGTCGAATAAAAAACTAAGAAATTAGAGTTATATGAGGTGAAGGTTAAAAAGGAATCGTAAGCAATTTGGAGTTCTCGAAAACACAAAATCGAAAGCGAAGAAAGCCAACCTACGTGGACATCGAGACTTTGGCCAAACCGTGAAAGGAAGAATAGTCAAACGCACATATAGGAAGCAGTTTCTAAACCATAATAGAAGTCGAAGATTGTGAGAACGTGAGAAACTGTAGAAGATAAACTGCAACATGCACGTAGAACGTGGTAGCAGTTTTGTTAACTGCTCGTGGAAGGCTTGAATGATGTCCTATAAATAGAGCAAAGGAGGAAGGAACAAGGGGGTGGAAATTGGCAGAGAACAGGATTAGTAGTGAAAAAGTCTACCGGAGAAACAACGAACACCATGAAGCTTCTGGCAATCTGGGTTTCCATGCTCACGGAGTACCTTTATCGCTTTCTTTATTTCCCTTGGTAATTTATTTTGATGCAATTTATATTCAGCAATTTTATGTTTCTGTATTTTCGATTTTTGGTCATTTCGATTCAATGCAAGTTAAGTTTCCGTGTTTAAATTCCCTGGTCATTTTACATTAATGCAATTTCGATTTCTAGTCATTTATTGCACCTTTGATTTAATGTCCTTTACATTTCCTGCAAATTCGATTTCTGGTATTTACATTGTTCGTTGTTTCGATTCCTCGTCTTTTATACTTAAAGCAAATTTAAGATTTTCGTAGTTTACGTTTCTTTGCAATCTAGGTTTCAGCACTGCTTTTCGATTCCATATATTTTCTGTTTTCTTTACTTCGAGTATTCTTAATACGAAACACCAAAAATAGTATCTTTGAAATCGGGTAAAATTCGATCCTCATACACATTTTGATTGAAAATTAATTTGCTAGCCTAAGCAAAAAGAACTTACGTGGTAGAATTTTGATTAGGATCAAAATATCTTAAGAATCGAAATCGATCGAAATTCCACCAGAAACAAATTGGCGCACTAGGTAGGGAGATTTGTGTTGAAAAGCACAAAATTGGTTAGTTCGAAAGTGTATGAGATTAAGGAGTGGGAGAGTTATAAGAATGAGCCAGAGTTCATCAAATAACCAGAGTAACAGTGAGGGTCTAAGTGATGTGCCTCCGCCAAATACTGGGGGGCAAGGGCACAATGGGAGTATGCCTGTAATATCGACAACTACGAGTATGTCGATACCTGTGAGTAATGAACAAAATTCAGGCACAATAGCAAACACCCAAGTAGGATCTAGTATGGTGGCACCGAATAATATACAAAATATGGGAAACCCCACAACAACATACGCAGGGCCATATGCGAGTGTAAGACCGCCTGGTTTTTCGCTCAATAATATGAATGGGGTTGATACTTCATCGATACATAGAATTCCGAGATATAACTTAGGAATGCCTCAAACACTAGGTATGCCGCAAAATTTTGGAGTCCCTCCAAATTTAGGGGCATCTCAAAACTTAACAATCCCTCAGAATTCAGGGAGTGGACAGAATTCAGGCACACAACAGACACCTCCAAATCTAGATCATAGAGGAAACTTGGATTATGGGAGATACGCATTTGATAGAGACTATCACCGATCTAATCTTGAGACTCTCGATAATATTGGTACTGGAGTTTCCAGTAACTCATTAGGAATACTTAGGCAACAAATGGATGAGAGCAACTTTGAAATGGTAAATATGTTATCACAACAGTTAACTACAGTCTTAAATCCATTAGTTCAAAACACTACTGCTAGTTTCGAGATATTAGCAGATCAAATGTCACGTATCGGGGATGCATTGGCAATACCTCGACAAACAAGGGTAGAAAATCATGTTAACCAGAATGCTAACATTAATCCCCCATATCTATTGAGGAGAAATCGGAACAATGATCAACAAATAGGGAATGAATATCAACATGGGAGAAATGATATTTATGGAAATATGAATGAGGGATTTCAAAACATGTATAATCACAATAACATGCAAAATAATCACATGTTAGGACAAAGGATGAATTTCCAAGGGATAGAATTTAGACCACCCAACCAAACATACTTTGTGTCTCCTTTTCCAAATACGATTCTCGAGACGGAATTACCTCGAGGATACAAAGTACCTAAATTCACCAAATTTGCTGGAGAAGTTGGTGAATCAACTATCGAGCATGTAGCTCGATATCAGATCGAATGTGGAGATCTCGCAATGAGTGAAGAATTAAAAATGAAATATTTCCCTAGTTCCTTGGCTAAGAATGCTTTTACTTGGTTTACTTCGTTGCCACCCAATTCGATATATAATTGGCTGCAACTGGAAAGAAATTTTCATGAGCAATTCTTTAGAGGAGAAACTCAAGTAAGTCTCATCGACTTGATGAATATAAAAAGATACAATCATGAAAGCATAGATGATTATTTGAATCGATTTAGACAAATGAAATCGAGATGCTTTACTCAAATTCCTGAATATGAATTAGTCAGAATGGCCTCTGCAGGCTTAGAATTCTCGATTAGGAAAAAGTTAGTCAATTTACTATTAAATGACATGGCTCAGTTAGCTGATAAAGTGAGAAGAGTAGAACAAATTGAATATGAAAAATAAAGATATAAGAAATTTGAGAAACCGATGAAGAAAGAAAGAATAGCATATATAAATGATGTGTATGAAACAGATCCCACGACAGAGGATGATGTGGAAAAAATTGTCGATGAGAAAGTAAATATAGCAGAGCTCAAAGTAGGAGCTCCATATATCTGTAAATTACTACAAAAAAATGAAGTAAAAGACAAAATGGTAAATCGAACATATACTTTTGATGTAACAAAGGCCGATAAAATCTTCGATATTTTATTGAAAGACAAACAGATTAAATTGAGTGATGATCATAAACTGTCCTCTGCAGAACAAAGGAATGGTCAAAAATATTGCAAATTTCATAATGTTTATGGACATTGGACTAACAATTGCATACATTTCAGGAACACGATCCAAGATGCGATCGACCAAGGAAGGCTGAAGTTCGAAGAAATGACAATGAAAGTCGACACGAGTCCCTTCGAGGCTCAAGTAGGATACCTCGAATCCCAAA